GCTAATTTAATATTTACAACATGGAGCGAAGGCTACAGTACACCATTTTAGAATATATTTTTTTTCGTATTATCAACATATTCTGGACCCTTGTTGAGTATTTCTTTTGATGATTGTTCAATGTTTTTAAAATGGCCGAAGTTTTCCATTGGCACTATTCACATGCAAAAAATCAAACCGACTGGTTGAAACCCCGCCGAGAAAAAGCGGTGGGTGCAACTCAGTGGGTAACGCGATCTTCGGGGTATAGCTGTACTGATTACTTGTAAATGAAGCATACATTTAGGCTTTATCTTTGTTCTTCATCTATTGAATTTCAAAGAATCACGCCTGATGGATATGCTGTCCACACTACAATTCGCAGGGCGCATTATGCTTCACTCATATCGGTAAACTGCGGAATTGGCAATCTAAATTGATCTTCCAAGGAGAATAGAAAAATACGTAGAGTACGAAAGTGATGATGATTTCAAAAATTTTCACGGGGAAGTATAGGAGTGTAAGCTTAAAAGCATTTTTTTTAATCTGGATGCTGCTACGGTGCTCAGATAAGATACTAGGGCAAAAATCTGACCAAAATCATAAACTGCTATTTTGAGAAATATTAGGCATGTAAAAAGTAATAATTATTGATTTTGAGTCAAATTGAAAAAAAAAAAACAAAGTATTGATGAAAATTTGCCAAATTTGCTCTAAGCTTATGTAGAACATACGGGCTTCAAAATGCTCGTAAACGCCAACCCGGATGAGTTTTCACCACTAATGTGTTCATGCCAACTTGAGATTCCATTTGTCCATAGATCATACGATTGAATCACGCAGAAATTGCCACCTTTTTTACAATTAAAAGTACAAAAATACTTAATAATCACATTTTATCAAACTTTTTTGAAACAAGCTGAAACATTAAAATATTGAGACCATTATCTATCATCTAGTTGGTACTGAATACAAGAAACTAATTTGCTACGGTTCTACTAAATAGTTGGTTTTAGAAAAAAAAAATATAGCTCTATGACAACACTTCCCAAAACTTTTAAACATAATTTGACGTATTTCAACCGTTGCCATTTTGTGCCGCATATATTTAAGTATACAACAAAAATAAAAGAACATAGAAAACTTTAAAATTGTTATTATATGTCTATTGAGTAGCCGTTATGTTTTCTACTAACGTAGCAATAACAAGATTTTATTAAAATAATTTGTTCACAAATGCTTTTTAAAGGGTGTCCAACATCAAATTGCATCACGGAAAAAAACGCTGTAGAAAATAACAATTTGGGCATTTTCTCTTGAAATTTGGGACGAAGTATTTTAGAGTGTATTTTTTACACTGTATTTTTATCGCTGTCAGTTTTTCGAAAGTTGGAAAAAATGGCGTCACCCGAAAAGCAACGTCACGAATTGATTTTGCGCAAGCACCTGGAAAATCCTTAACTCTCTCATCGGGACATCGGAAAACAACCCAAGGCGAACCAGCCAATGGCTGAAAGCCTTGTAAATAAAGGAAAAAAAAAAAAAAAAAAATCGGAAAACAACTCGAAATCGTGCAGTCAACGGTGAGTCGCGTGATTAAACGTTACTATGAAACTCTGAGCATCGAACGGAAGGAGAAATGCGGACAGAATGGATGTTCTATTAGTGATCAGGATCACAAGCGTGTCGTGAATGCGTTTAAGCGGAATCCCAATGTTTCGGTCAGGGATGTGGCCAAAAAAGTTACATCTGTTCAAGTCTTTCGTTCAGAGAGCCAAGGACCGGGAGGGACTGTATACGTACAAAGTGTAGAAGGCTCCAAATCGTGACGAATGGCATGGAAATGGGGCCGGAAACTGTACACCCAGATGCTGACGAAGCCTCGTTGTCTCATCATGGATCATGAGACTTACGTCAAGGCGGACTTTTGCCAGCTTCTGGGGCTACTGTTCTTCACCGACCAGCACAAGTTTGATGTTCCGGAGGATGTAAGGAAGCAGAAACTTTCAAAGTTTACCGAGAAATACATGATTTGGCAAGCGATCTGCTCATGTGGCAAACGGAGTGCGCCGTTTGTGACTACCGGGACAGTAAACGGGGAGATCTACCTCAAGGACTGTCTACAAAAGCGTCTGCTTCCTCTGTTGAAGCAACACGAGGGCCCTACGATCTTCTAACCGGATCTAGCTTCGTGCCACAATTCAAATATTGTCCTGGAAGGGTACGAAGCCAACGGTCACTTTCGTACCCAAGGACCATCGAAAAATACTGGGCTATTACGAAGCAGGCCCTTCGGAAGCATCCCAACGAGGTCAAATCTGAGGAAGACATGAAGAAAAAGTGGGTTTCCGTACAGAAGAAGCTGCAGCCAGATGTTGTACAGAACCTAATGAGTAGAGTTAAGCGTAAGGTACGAGCGTACGGTTATGGTATTGAAATTGAATGAAATAAATATACCAAAAGCTTACTAATGGGTTATATTGTATTGTCTGAAAGTTTTGAAAAGGATCGGTCACCTAGGTAATTTTCTACGGCGTTTTTTCGTGATGACAATTTGATGTGGGACACCCTGTAACATTGAAAAATTCTGAAATCATCATTCCTTTCATTGTTTATCTTTTCTCGACGGGGGCTAACTTTGATTTGCCAATCCGCTTCACTGCAGCTGTTCCGACCGCAGCTACCAGAAAGTTTGTTACGGCTTGGTCCCAATCGGAACGTCCTTCCGCGGGTGCATTATTTTTCATCATCTTCATCATCTTCCTGGACAATCCGATCGGCTTCAGCAAATAAATTCGGAAGCAGCAAGTGATTGAAAGTGTCGGCAAAAATACTATATGAAATCCCACAACGGACTTTTCCGCAACAATCTATTTCCCCTATTTCTCGATGAACATTTCAAATGGCCCTATCTGCTTTGATCGATTCTCTTCATCGAATTTCTTTTTTGATAACCACTGCTATGCAAACAGATTTCGCGCTAATTTTACAACATAGTTTGATCAAGGAGATTCTCATCTAGCATCCAAAATGTCAAATACAATAGGGAAAGGTTTTGCAGCTGAGTTATTAACGGAAGAAAAAGTCGATGAAGAGAATCGATCAATGCAGATAGAACCTTTTGAAATGTTTATCTAGATTTCATCTTCCATGTCTGTGAGGCCTATTCAGGATGGATTATGCTTGACCTTTCCTCGCTTTTTACTCTCTATACATAATTTTCACACTGCCGTACTCTAACGAAACTTTCAACTCTATAGACCTTTTTGACGTTTAATCGTCTTTCTCTATCTAGCGCACATGGGAAGTTCTTGGAAGTCCTTTGAATTTCTCGTTGGAAGTTGATCCTGTAAATTTCTCCTCTGAAGAACTCTGAACTTCTCGTCGGAAATGTTGTGAAGTTCTCATCGAAAGTTCTCTGAATTTTTCGTCGAATGTTCTCAGAACTTCTTCTCGAATGTTTGCTGAATTTATCCTTCCAAGCTTCCAATTTTTTCTTGGAATATCTTTGAGCTTTTCTTCGGAAGTTCTCTGATCTTCTCCTCGGAAGTTCTCTGATCTTCTCCTCGGAAGTTCTTTGAACTTCTTCTCGGAAGTTCTCTGAACTTCTCGTCGGACGTGCTATGAACATTTTCTGAAAATCAGAACCTCTTGGCAGAAGTTCTCTAAACTTCTCGTCAGATGCACGCTGAACTTCTCGTCGGAACTTCTGAGAACTTAACTGAAGTTCTGTGAACTACTCGAAACTTCTCTTCGGAAAATCTCTGAACTACTCGTCGGAGGTTCTCTGAGTTTCTCATCGGAAGTTCCCTGAGCATCTCGTTGGAAGTTCCCTGAACCTCTCGTTGAAAATACTCTTAGCTTTTAGTCAGAAGTTCTCTGAACTTTTCGTTGAACTTCAGGGAAATTTGATGAAGTTCTGCGAACTTGAGGTAAGTTCTGTAAACCTTAGGGATTTTAATTTTTAAGTGCCCTGAACTTCTGGAAAATTCTGTGAACTTTCCGTTGGAAGTGATGTGAACTTCGCTATCACCTGAATTCGTTTGAACTTCAGAGAACTTCTTTTTAGGATTAAAGAAGTTATCAGATCATTCATAAATTGCATAGGAAAGCTCCTTCGGAGTAGTTCTGCGATCTTCAATGAAATATTGTAAACTCTAAAGAAGTTCAGCGCACTCCAGAGTTGTTTTGTGAATTTCAAACATTCCTGTGAACTTTTTCTAGTTTTGCGAACTTCAAGTTTAATCTAGTGGTCTTTAAACATCAAGGTTGAGATGGATAGCGAGTCACCTCACATTACACACAACGCAGAATTGGCCGGAAATTAAAATCTCTGCAGTATACATAGCCTCTCTGAAGTTTACAGCAAATTTGTAAAAACCACTCTAAAGTAGAGCAGACTACATCAGAACGCATAGGACTTTTCTTAGGGTAGCAGAGCGTAGTTGAAGTTCTCATAACTTCTCTGACGTTATCTGAACTTCTCTCTGAACTTCTATGATGTTTGCAGAACAGTTTTGAGCTGCGTTAACTAATCATGTTTGTATTACTTCATGCGTGAAGTTAACAATTTACATAGCTGGATATGATTAACGTCAGATATCCAACTCAAAGTGGTAATTTTATACGATATACGATGAAACTATCAACTCTATACTTTCATCTTCTCATTCTGATATCTGACGTTAAGTTTTAAGATGTTTAGTGTAATTTATAGAACTCTACTGAAGCTATTTAAAGTTCGTTAAGCTCATCTGAGTTTTCCATAACTTTAAAAAAAAATCTGCTTATTGCAGGTCGTTGAATACAGACAAGCATAACTGCTCATTGGAATTTCTTCATAAATTATCCACAGCATTCTAGAAAAGTTCTCTCGTAGAATTATCGTCCGATGTTGCTCTGAGTTCTAATCAGAAATTCCAATCCCCTATGTTCGTAAAATAATGAATTGAAATAATATTGAAAACCACTGACTTAAACTTTTCAATTGACATACATTTTGCACCCATCCCCTTTTCCAGGAATCCAGACAACCTCCGATGCAGAAGGTAGGCCGCTTGATGCGGAAATCTTCAGCTCCAGCTCGAGTGACCGCTCTCCACCTGGCCAAGTACCATCCCCATTACTCTACCCTCCGGGCCACCAACCACGTCAACTGGCAGTGGCATCCGGTCGACACAGTCAACCAGGAAGCTCTGAACTCACCCGTCTTCAAACTTTCCCACGACGGAGTGCTGACCGTCAACGACACCGGTCTGTACTTTGTCTACGCTCAGGTAAGCACCTTGCAACTAAATTGCATTCAATTTCCCATTCAAATCGAATGTGATTTTTCTTCTGCAGATAACCTACGCCGATCAGCACTCAGTCAGCGGATTCAACATCCTGGTCAACAACAGGAGACACGCATCCTGTTCCATTCACGGCCAGCAAGGGAAAAAGACCAACACGTGCTACACGGCCGCCCTGGTAGATTTGGATCACGGTTCACAGCTTGAAATCCGAGACATGGACGAGGGTCATGTTCATTTACCCTTCCAGGAAAAGACCTTCTTCGGACTATACAAACTGGGCAGACGGCCCACGGTGCTTCCCGGTAACACTTAAGCAAACTCGCTTAGGCGAGTTGGTCATACTCCCCCTTGCTACCCATGTGTACATATAGCAACTCAAGTTCTAATCCCGTAGCTCTAAGTCGCACTCTCTAATGCACTCTCATTATGATATATGTGTCCCTTTATGCTCTTTTGTTATCAATATGTACGGAAAATGTATTGTGAATGTGTTATTATTGCCCTCAATGTTGTCGTGATTGTTTAAATACAAAAGTTCTGGATTCAAAATACAGAAAAGGAAATGCGTCTAAAAAAAAATCACGCAGGACATTGTCATTCAAATACGAGTAGAAAGAAAATCAAAAATTTCCCATTGGGCACTCAGCTGTCCATGCACCATTTACACTTCAAATGTAGCGCTGAAACCGATGATATAGGGTAAATGATGGCTTCGGCAGCCATCGACTGTTTTCGGCAACGACAATTTAAACGTTAATTTCGATGTATTTTCTCACTAAAATACTTCGCTGAATGTATTTAAACGATTCCTTAGTCTTTCAGCTTCAATCCTAATACATTTTTACGACTGAGCAAACCTGTTATGCTAGGTGTTTCTTCAAAAGAAACATAAGCACATCAAAATACGGCTGATTTCGAGTTGCCGATAATAGAACAGCTGGTTAACACACAGTTTAAACGGAAAGGTTGCCGAAGTAAAAGAGGCTGCTGACAATAGTCACACTCACCTGAGAAGTTTGGAGCGCGTTAAAAACGTTTTCAAACCGTTTTGGACAGTTTTGTTGATTGGAATGGATAGAATAGCTAGCAGCAGATGAATGTAAACAAACAGACACGTCATATGTGGTCGTGACACTGAGAAAATGCTAATAGAAGTGCGGAAGCTGCTTAGATTGACGAGAATACGTAAATTCCCCTATGTCGACGAGTGAGAAAGCAGTTGCTTCGTGTCACTGTTCGAAACACGCTCATTATCCCCGAAGACATAGGATCCCCGAAAGAAGAACGCACAGATCCTTATTTATTGTTATCCATTTCCTAATGGCCGGGACCGGGAGCAATAAGAAGAACAACAGATCTTCACTGCGGATGGTGAAAGTTGCTCGTCTCAACCTATGTGGGAAGGTGGGATTCCTATTTCCTTCCCAATTGACACCGGTGGCAGGAGACGAGAATCAAGAACTTTGTAGAAATAGCGACGGAATGAACCATCGGAATTCTTCACAATGATGAAGATGATGGTGACGACGACGATGATGACTGGGTCGTTGCGGATTATTTTCCACTTTTATATGGGCACGTTCGTGCGCCCCCTACCACCTTACTTCCGATTAAAGAATGGGACAGTGATGGAGTTACTCACGTTTTTTGTTTCCTCACACATAACTGCGATGCAGCGAAAGAGTGTGTTGCTAAGGCCGCCACCCATCGAAGGAGAGGCTTTATTCCGGTTCATTTCACATCTCGCCGTGATGATAATGATGATGTGGCATAAACAGGGACCGAACCGACTTTGGAACATGACGAAAATGTTAAAATTTCTGGAAACTGGAATAAGCAGAGCTGATTTTACCTATATGGAGCATTAACCCTCAAGTGCTCATAAGTGAACCGTTAAAGCTATTTGAGCCGTTTACATTTATGGCTGGTAAACGGCTGGACAATGCGTACCATTGATAATTCGCGTATCTGCAGATATAAAATAGACCCCAATAGCGGTCCTGAGCCTCTTGTCCAGTACCTCCTATCCCTAGTTTATCGCTGACGACGTGGAAATTGTCGGAAGAACGTTTCAGGCCGTGGCGGAGCAGTACACCAGGCTGAAACGTGAAGCAGAGAAGGTTAGATTAAAGGTGAATACGTCGAAGACAAAGTATCTGTTAGCTGGAGAAACCGAGCGGGATAGGGCTTGCATAGGCAGAAGCGTGACAATCGACGGAGATGAGTTCGAGGTGGTGGATGAATTTGTGTACCTCGGATCATTGGTGACGTCGGATAACTACTGCAGCAGAGAAATTCGTTGGCGTATTATTGCCGGAAGTCGTGCTTACTACGGACTCCACAAGACCCTGAGGTCGGGTAAACTTCACCTCCCTACTAAATGTACCATGTAGGTACAAGACGCTGATAAACCGGTAGTTCTCTACGGGCACGAGACGTGGACGATGCTTGAGGAGGACCTGAAAGCACTGGGTATTTTCGAACGACGAGTGCTTAGGACCATCTTTGGCGGGGTATGTGAGAACGGTGTATGGAGGCGAAGGATGAACCACGAGCTGGCGCAACTCTATGGCAAACCCTGTATCCAGAAGGTTGTGAAGCTGGACGGGTACGATGGGCGGGACACGTTTTACGAATTCCGGACATCAATCCCGCAAAAATGGTGTTTGCCTCGAATCCGGCCGGTACAAGACGAAGAGGAGCAAAGCGAGCAAGGTGTTTAGACCAAGTGGAGCAGGATCTTGGAAGTGTGGGACGGTCAAGAAATTGGAGACATGCAGCCACGGACCGAGTGAATTGGCGTAACATTGTGATGCAGCTGCAATCCTGAGGGAAGAAGGACCAGGATAAGTAAGTAAGTACATTTATGAACACTATTGACGGAATCCGGTAGTGTTGTGGTAAGCGTGACTCTTTTCTCACCCCAATGGGTCTGGGTTCAATTTCAGCTGACGTCGGTGGGATTTTTCTGAGGCATAAAAATCTCTGGTCACGTCTTCCTTCGGAAGGGAAGTAAAACCGTTGGTCCCCGGCTAATATGTGTTGATGGGAGCGCTATCCTACGCAGGTTACACTTTTGGATGGCAATCGATGTCCGTAGGTGATTGGCACAAGACTGCGGAACAGAGACCGATGGTAAATAAAGGAAGATGATGAAGAGAAGCAAGCATCTTATTTAATTTTCACTTCTGTATGACTTTTGGATGGATTCCATGAACCTTCACCTTACTATTTGGGAAGTTGGAGTAGGCTCTGCCTGTACCGTTGGTTTTTGGTGTCGCTCTTCGCTGTCATGAATCTCGTGTTTTCTGTGTTCTATAGTTCCCGTAAACATGATTAAGCAAATCAAATTTTAATGAAATAAATACCAAATTCATGAACTTTTATTTTTTCACTCTTTATTTGCTCATAGTGTTTTTATGTTACTTCATACGCGAAGTTTGCGATTTTCAGAGTTGGTTGGAAATGCTATCTAATCTAATCTCTAATCTAATCTAACACCAACACAGCCAGTTCTTGAAAGCATCCTGCATTGTCTATTTGATATATGTTTCACATCGAAGATGCGTCACACATATCAAAACAGCCAGGTCTACTGTGCAGCATTTAAGGGGCAAGATGATTCAGAAAACATCGGGCCTGTTTAAATCGAAAATTTAAACACGATGCTTCAGAATCCAATAAATGGATGAAACGTGGACATCTCGTACCGTACGTTCCGAATTTGGTAATTATATTGGTTGGTCGTTGGAAGCATCAAAGCTAGAAAGATTAAGTGAAAGTCCTAGCCTTTTATGACTTTTGGCTAAAGCGCCATTACTCGCTTTCTGAAAAGAGAAGAGGGACAGGAAAAGGAGAAGGACAATGGGAAAAGGATTATGTGAAATCTATAAACATAAACAACATTTTTGATTTGAAATATACAATATAGAAATGCATAACGGCGCGGTGGTCACTACCCGAGTTTTGTCACTATTATCAAGTCATAAAAAGTAACAAGGACTAAAATGTGATCCTTTGACTACTGGGAAATCCTGATTCCCTAGTTTGAAGTTGTCACGACTAGGGTTTGGTGGTAGATCTTATACCAGTAACGCACCACAAAAAGGTGATCTCCCAACGTTACTGGTTTGAAAAGATAAAATTTTACAAAATGGAACGAACTCACCAAGTTTAGCCAATTGAACCTGAAGGCTGCCTGACATGTGTTGATGTAGAAGTCCAAATTGTAGACGGAGCTTGACGAAGATCAACATGAACTAGTCCACTGACACACTTGACACTAGATTGCGGAACATAGACTGACGTTAAATAAAGGAATCAAGAACTAAATTCAGTGACGAGGAGGTGGCGAAAACGACCCACACCAGGAGCTACAACGGAAATCGGCAAACTCGAAGAACTTCTGCCTAGCAACTTTTACACGACAGTGATATAATTAATGAAAGGGCGTTATTCCAAGGAAATTCCGCAAATAACTCCTGGGGAATAATGAAATGTAATCTTTAAGACTTCAGTAGAGAATGTAAAGGTAAGTATTTTTTTCCTTTGTTTGTTTTCCGTCGATCTTGTTTTCCGTGCTGAGCACCAACGCTACCGACACAAGGGAGACAGCTCCCACACCTGGACGCTACCCATCGACCCATCAGCTCATGAACCGGGGACCGGGGGCTTTACTTCCCTTCCGAAGGAAGGCGTGATTAGAGATGTTGTAACCGTTCTGTTACAAAGGTCCAATACAATATTTTAAATATGCACCATGCGATCGAGCATTCAAATAAATTTGTGTAACACTTGCGGTGAAACGTGGAAGATTCTTTGCTCGACTGTTGAGCTGTTCAGTCCGTATTTTTCGCTCGAGATCTCTTTTCGATTTTGTTTCGTTTTGTGCTGTCGCGTTGCGCCGTGGAAGTGTCGCCACCTTCTCGCGTTCTGGCAAGTTTACTTGAACTTGCAAACACGAAACAAATGGTGCGTAAACGAGCCAGCAGCTGGCCCTTCAAAGAAGGTGCTAATCAAGCCCAGCGCATCGCAGGATGACGCCGGAAAACGAGTACTGCAAGCCAACCAGTATGCAGTACTCCCGGAAGAAAATGGCGATGGTGACGCCGCTCCCATTGCAAGAAAAGAGCGAATTCCCCCGCTTTTCACGCCGGTGAAGGATGTTGCCAAGCTAGGTGCCGAACTGGCAAAACACAAGCTGCTGTCACGCTTCAAGCTTTGCAGCATCGGTACCAAAATCATGTTCTCCAGCCTGGAGGAGTACAAACAAATAGGATGTTTCCTGAAGGAAAACAACGTGGACTTCTTCACGCATGATCTGCCATCGAGCAATGAGGGCGGTTTTGCGTGGATTATCGTCGTTCGAAGCGGCTGCGGTGAAGTCCGAGCTGGAGCGGCTTGGGCTCCAACCTGAGGCCGTGCTCCAGATGAACCGGTGTTCCAACCACAACACAAGCTTTCGTGACCAGTTGTTCCTGGTGCACTTCACGAAGGGATCCACCAGTCTTGCGGCTCTGAGATCCAAAATCCGGGACCTGTTTCAGGTCATCATCAGTTGG